TACGACAGTGGTGTTGCTAATCGATTAATATCTTTAGATTATAATCGATACTAATCACCTTAAAAAATTTACTGATGTAGTTCAAACTGTAGTTATATAGAATCTGCTGAAATTTTATATATTCTAACTTCAGATCATTATTGATTCTTGACAAAGTAGATCATAAAAAATTCATTACACAAATTGAAAAATTACCTCTTTTTGTTCGATGCTGTATTTTATTTTAAAGCATTGTGTTGTACTTAGCTTTATAATAATCTTTAACTGTCTATTTTCAAATAGGTTCAAAATAAATCTTATTGTAATTTGAGAAATCTTGAGCCTTTTTATTGCTAATTCTAATGATACAAGTGATACTAAGTCAAAAGCCTTTTTTATTTCTTGTAAAACTAGCTACAGCTCTTTTTTATTATCCTTTGTATCATCTATTATTGTATTTATGATCTGCACTAGCTCTTCTGTCAAGTTTTCAGGCAAGCCTGCAAAATTTAAACCTTTTAGAATGTCTCTTTCTGCTATAACTTATGCTAGCTTTTTGATTACTATTTAGTAATATGCTTCTTTCCTAAATGTCTCTAGCAATGCAATTGGTCTGACATTATTTAAAGCATAATGCCAGTCTGTATCTTTCAGAATTGGATATATTTGTGAAATTTTTTATTTTAACAAAACTTTGCCTGATTGGATATAGCTTTTTGCAAAGAGATAAAAAATCTTTTATGTATAAGCACTTGCTGCTTTAATTAATATATATTGTACAGCACTGACTACAGTATCTCCCAGCCATAATATCTCCTATGTAAAAGACCCGGGTACAATTTATAGGTTTAGATTTATGATTATAGAATAATACCCAGGTATAGCGCAAATCATAGTACCCTCTTTTATAATACCCCTCTAAAAAAGACTCAGGTATAATTCATACCTAATATTTAAAAAATGGAATTGTACTTAGCATAATTGAATTTCTGATCATTAAGAAATTCTATTGCTATAATTGTCCTAACTAGCACCAGGTTAATCATATTTACAATAAACTATATATTATATAAACATTTATTTAATGAGTTGACTATAACTTTAATTTTATAAACTTGGCAATTAGTACAGAATTTAAAAAAGTTTTCAAATAGACCCAACATCAAATTTTACTTAGTAGCCTTTTCTATTTCTAGATTGCTTATTAGTATATATTATTAAAGTTAGCTGTAATAAATTGATTTAAAATTTTATTAAGTTGGTTCTCAAAAGCTTAATAAGAATTGATTCTTAATAAAAACTTAAGAATCAATTTTCATCAAAGTTTTAAAACTCTCGCTGCTAATTAGATTATTTTATTGAATATGAAAAAAATCTTTCAACTAAGATTATTATTAATCTGGCTTAATTATCTATGTAAATTTTATTTCAAAATCTATATGATATCTTTTTTCAACTTCCAATCAAAATTATACTTGTTTTCCAAGAATCTCATTAATGTTTTTCTAACTTATTAATTGCTGATGTAATTATATATGTAAAAAAAAAAAAATATATATATATATATATATAATATATATATATATAAAAATAAAAAATTTATATTATTTAATTCCATTCATTAACGTAGTCGATTTCTTTCAAGTTATAATAATCATCGTCATTACTAAAAAACTGATCTTCGTTTTCACTAGCATAATTATCAGCGTCTTCATTAGTATAATTATATTCATCTTTATTAACATGATTGTCTTTATTAACATGATTGTCTTCATTAACATGATTGTCTTCATTTTCACTATTACAGTTATATTCGGCTCCATCAATCTGACTATCTTCGTCACTAATTAAATTGATTTTTTCTACCAAATCTAGATTAAGTCATTAATTTTAAGATTACTTGTAGTATTGAACATTAACTAACAGAGGGTGTGGCGACTTAGTGAAGTGGTGAAGTTGTCGCATCCTCAAGTGGTAGAGTATAAGTTCAATTCCCACGGAAAGCAAAAAATTGAATTTAGAAAAACAGATTCGGCAACTATCATTGTGGCTAGGAAAACTCGAGACCCTGTAACTGTGGTCGTACTAAGATAAAAATTGGAAGATTCTGGGGCATTTGTGTAATAAAGGAGTTACACAAAGGCATGCAAGCCGGTTTAGTCAG